ACCCTTTTATATTCTTCTGCCCAGACTGGAATTTTCTAAAGACATTAAATGTGGGGCAGCACAAAGGGATCTAACATAGAGTAAATGAGTCATTCACAGCCTGAGATAGGTAACCTCTGATTCCAAAATTTTCAGGCTCTTGCTTAGAGTTCTTAATTCCTTCTCATGGCCTGGTCCATGTTGAGAGACCCATCTAACACCTTGTCCTTTAGGAGCTCATTTCAGTCAGTATTTGTGGACAATTTCAGGGACAAGACAGGGAAAGATTTCCACTTTGCAGACAATGAAGCTTTCTTTCCTCAGTTCTTGCATCTGGGCTGAATGATTCTCTTTGCCAACAGATCACTGTCAAAAAGTCTCACTCATCCAGGCAAGACGTCCACCTTCCATTCCACTCTGTGTACAGTGGTGTGAGCTGTACTTGAAGGCCTTATTGTATAGCCAGATCTTAAAAGAACCCAGTCTTCATGCTCAAATCACATACATATCACAACAATAAGATTATCCTTTGATTATTTATGGAATAAACAATATTCAATAAGCAATTATTTTTTGAACACCTATTACATGTCAGGTCCACAGTTCAAACTCACTAGCTGCTCCTTGGAAACTCTATGCCGGGTCGTTATAAGTCGGAACCAACTGGGTGACATTCAACAACAACAACATTATATGCCAGACAAAGTTCTGGTGATACTGTTGGATAAGCACTGGACTGCTAACCACAAGATTCAAGCCCACCAACAACTCTGCAGTACAAAGATGAGGCTTTCTGCTCCTTTAAAGGTTTACAGCCTTGGAAACTATATAGGATTGCTATGAGTTGAAATAGACTCTATGGAGTTGCTGTTACTGTTAAGTGCCATTAAGTCAGTTCTGACTCATAGCAACCCTGTATAGGGTTTCCAAGGGGCAGCTGGTGGGTTTGAACTGCTGACCTTGTGGTTTGAAGTTCAGTGCTGATCTTGTAGTACTACACGAGAAGTCCAAACTTGATGGCAGTAGGTATTATATTCCAAGAACTGCTCGAGGTGCGGCATTGAGGAAGATGTAGCAGTGAGCAAGAAGGTAAGGTCTCCAAGCTAACAGTGTAGTCTGATGTTTACTATCCTCTTCCCTTCACTGTTAGAACTTGAGAATTTTATGCCCCCGCCTTTACTTGCTGACCACTTTTATCCCCTCTGTAATGGTACTACCACTGGCCTAAATTCTGTCTTTCAAAGGGTATCAATGCCCTTTTATTGCCAAATCCCATGAATGTTTCTTAGTCTTGACCTCCCTCATTTTCTCTAAAGCATTTTGTGCCCTTGCCCACTTCCTCCCTCTTGAATTTCCTCTCTGTTTAACTCATTGTCTTTTGTGTTACTATGTCCTTTTCCTGTCTCTTTCTCACTAATTCCTTCTTTCTTTTTGTGCCACCCCACTCAGTGTGGTGGAAGCATTTTTGAAGGCTCTGACTTCCTTGCACTTCTTTCCTTTCTGTTCTTCCTAGAACTAAAGCTTTTTAATCTATTTATTTTCACATCTTCAGGGTTAACCTCCCTCATAAGCTGCGGAATAACTATTTGTATCTGGGTATTTTTGCTACTTCAAATCTAACATTGATCAAACTGAATGCATTTATACTGTTTTTTCTTCTTTTGGTACCTTCACCAACTAGTTCCTTTTCATAATGCTCCTATTTTTGTTAACTCCTCCTTTCTGTGAACGTGTTGTGCATTTGGTGTATGTCTCTGTGTGTATTTACTGCTTGCATGGTTGAAAATTGCATGGGTTTTAAAAGGTAAGGTCATGTCCAATATCTATCGGGTGGATGAAAAGCATTTTTTGAGGTTCCAAACTGGGAGACAGCACTTGATTGCTAGTTTGTGTGCCTTCTTCATCTGAGTTTTGAGTAGCTGTGTGACTTCAAGCACTGCGCCTCAGTGTTCATCTCTGTAAGATATGTTGCTATCATTAAGTTCCATCAAGTTCTGACTTACAGCGATCCTGCATAGAGTTTCCAAGGAATGGCTGGTGGGTTTGAGATGCTGATCTTATGGTTATCAGTCCAGTGCTTACCTTAAAGCTCCAATATGGATAACCATAATAATGTCAACTCAACAGAGTTGCTGTGTGAGTAATGACTGTACACTTAGACAATGTATGATTAGGATAAATTTGATTCATGTTAAGTGCTTAATGCATGCCCTATAGTATTGTTAGTAATTAAGACTTCTGGAAATGATGAAGACAATATTTAGCCTGTTCCAGAGAATGTTGAGGATTAATTTAAAATGACATTTCAAATAAAGACTCTCTTGCATTGAAAAGTGTTTAAATGGTATATGAGATTTTAGTTAGATGGCTATCTTTTTGACAATGAAAATTGAAATATGTTGTCCTTACTCTGAAAACTTGTAACATCTCTTCTTAGGAGCTTACAGAATCCCACTTGTCTTAGGGGATTTTTGCACGACTTTATGAAATGATTCCTTGCGGGGAAATCACAGTGCCTTGAAGGTCCTTAGTGGGATCAGGCAATGCCTGCATGGCAGGTGCATGAGTCCTCAGGACTTCACCTCAAGGGCATTAACCACCAGACTGCACTTGACCCCCTCTCAGTCATGCAGGGCCTGTTTCTTTCCACAGAGTGGCTTTCCTTCTGTTTAGTAGCTCTGGTAGCGTAGTGGTTACGAATCGGGCTGTGAACCTCAAGGTCAGCAGTTCGAAACTACCAGCGGTTCCGCAGGAGAAAGATGAGGCGTTCTGCTCCCGTAAAGATTTACAGCCTTGGAAACCCTGTGCAGGGTCGCTATGAGTTGGAACCAACTCCATGGCACTTAACAACAACAACAACATTCTTTGGAATCTTTAACTGACGCAGTGTGGAATAAGCGAGCACTGAATTTAGAGTCAGAAAATATTGATTCCAATTCTGATTCCAGCATTTACTATCTATGCTAACTTTTCTAGGCCACAATTCGTCATTCATAAAATGAAATAATTCAAAATTTCCCCTCATTTTAATGCAACATTGTTGTAAGGATTGGAGATAACCTATACTATGTAGTATAGTTCTGGTGTGGTGCTATAGGTAGAATAAGCAGTGGACTGTTAACCACAAGGTTAACAGCTCAAACCCACCAGCTTCGCCTCAGAAATCCAACACAAGGTCACTATGAGTTGGAACCGACTCGACAGCATTCAGCAAACTCAGCATGTAGCAGTAAGTAGTAAGTATGTAAGAATTACGTTTCTTTATTGAGGGATCCAGATTCAACTAGCCACAGACCTTCCAGAGTGGTCCTCTGTTATGATGTATATATTTTGATTTGCGACCTATCATGGGTACATTCCACTGAAGTTTTACATTTAACACCGCTTTCGCTGTGTCCCAAAGATTTTGGTATGTTGTGTTTTCATTCTTGTTTGCTTCTAGGAACTTTCTGAATCACGTTTAATTTCTTCTATTACCCAGTCACTTTCCAGCAGGGTGTTATTCATTTTCCATGTATTCGACTTTATTTTCTCCGTCTTGTTATTGTTGAATTCTAGTTTTATAGCATTGTGGTCTGAAAAGATGCTTTGTAGTATTTTGATATTTGTAAATTTACAGAGGCTTGTTTTGTGTCCTAACACATGGTCAATTTTGGAGAATGTTCTATGTGCACTGGAAAAGAATGTGTATTATGCTGTTGTTGGATTGAATGCTCGGTACACATCTATGAGGTCAGTTTGGTGGATTGTGCTGTTTGGTTCCTCTGTAACGTTGTCGAGTTTCTTTCTGCTTGTTCTCTTTTCGAAAGTGGCATATTAAAATCTCCCACTATAATTGTAAATTTTTCTGTTTCTTTCTTCAATTCTAGTAAGGTTTGCTTTATATATTTTGGTGCTCTTTCACTGGGAGTGTAGATATTTAATATGGTTATGTCATCTTGCTCAATTGACCATTTAATTGTGAGATAGTGTCCTTCTTTGTCTCTTATGCTGGTGTTTGTCTTAAAGATACTTTATCAGAGATTAGCATTGCCACTCCTGTTTGTTTTTTATTGTAGTTTGCTGTTGTTGTTATTAGGTGCCATCGAGTTGGTACCGACTCACAGCGACCCTATGCACAGCAGAACAAAACACTGACAGATCCTGGGCCAACCTCACAATTGTTGCCACACTGGAGCCCATTGATGCTGCAACTTTGCCAATCCATCTTACTGGGGGGCTTCCTCTTTTTCTCTGACCCTCCACCTTACCAAACATGATATTCTTCTTCAGTGACTGGTCCCTCATGAAAATATGTCCAAAGTATGAGAGAAAAAGTTTGACCATCTTGACCTCCTAGGAGCACTCTGGCTGCACTTCTTCCAACACAGATCTATTGGTTCTTTTGGCAGCCCATGGCACTTTCAATATTCTCCTCCAAAACCATAACTCAAAAGCATCAATTCTTCTATGGTCTTTCTAGTCACTGTCCAACTTTTGCATGCATATAAGGTTATTGAAAATACCATGGCTTGGGTCAGACACACCGTAGTCTTCAAGCTGACTGACTTCTTTATTCTTCAACACTTTAAAAAGGACTTGTGTAGCAGATTTTCCTAATGCAATACGCAGTCTGATTTCTTGACTGCTGCTTCCATGAGTGTTGATAGTTGATCCAAGAAGAATGAAGTCCTTGACAACTTCAATCTGTTCTCCATTGATAAGAATGTTGCTTATTGCTCCAGTGGTGAGGATTTTTTGTTTTCTTTACATTGAGATGCAATCCATACCGAAGGCTGTGCTCTTTGATACTCATCAGAAATATTTCAAGTCCTCTTCACTTTCAGCAAACAAGGTTGTATCATCTGTATATTGCAGGTTGTTAATGAGTCTTCCTCCAATCCTGATGCCATATTTTTCTTGATATAAACCAGCTTCTCTGATTATTTGCTAGGCATACAGGTTGAATAAGTATGGTCTTGGTATATTTTTTTCCATCCTTTAACTTTTAGTCTGGTTTTGTCTTTGTGTGTTTCTTCCAGGCATTGTATTGAAGGGTTATGCTTTCTTATCCATTCTGCCACTCTCTGTCTCTTTACTGGTGCATTTAATCCATTGACATTGAGTGTAATTATCGATAGGTATGAATTAATTGCTGTCATTATGTTAATTTTTTTGTGGTGCTGTTTGTTCCTTTGTTCTGCATGCTTTCTTGTGCTGAGTTCGTGTTTTTTGTGCTATTTCTTGTCAGTTTCTTCTTAGTTTTAATGTTTTCTTGTCCTGCTTGGATCTTCATTTTCATGGTAAGTTGTGAAGTATTAACTTTCTTTGGGGTTACCCTATAGTCTATTAACTGTTTCCTCCATTTAAGGTAGTTGATTGTATCCTGCAATCTACCTGACCTCCTCATCACCTGGACTTCTGTACTTTTCTCTTCTTTGAAATTGTTATTATTTTGATCTTTGGTTGACCTCCCTGCTCCTTTGAATTTGTTGTCTTAATTTTGTTCTGTTCTGGCCTCGCTATCTGTTGTCTGAGTTCTGGGTAGTGTTGCCATGTCTGTCAATCTCTAGTTGTTGTCTGTTCTTTTTGGTTTTCAGTCCAAAGAACTCCCTAATGATGTTTTGAAGTGCTGGATTGGCTTTGACAAAATCTCTTAACTTCTGTTTATCTTGAAATGTTTTGATTGCACCATCGTATTTGATTGACAGTTTTTCTGGATAGACAATTCTTGGTTGGCAGTTTTTTTTCTCTTTTAGCGTTTTATATATGTCGCCCTATTCCCTTCTTGCCTGCATGGTTTCTGCTGAGAAGTCAGAGCTTTATCTGATTTGCTTGCCTTTGTAAGTAACACTTCTCTTTTTCCTAGCTACTTTTAGGATTCTTTCCTTGTCTTTGATTTTGGAGAGCTTGATTATGATATGTCTTGGTGGTTTTCTTTTGAGGTTCTACCCTTCCTGGGGTACATTCAGCTTCTTGAATGTTTATCTTCTCATCCTTCAAGATGTTAGGGAAAATTTTTTCCAGTAACCCTTAAATTATCTCCTCTGTGTACTTCTGTGATTCTTCCTGCTCTGGAATGCCAATAATTCTTAAGTTATTCCTCTTCATGTTATCCAGCATTAATCTTAGACTCTCTTCAGATTTTTAATCCTTTTGTTTTTCTGTTTTCTCTTCTGTCTTAGCAGTATTGAGAGATTTGTCTTCCATTTCACTAGTTCTGGTTTAAATATTTTCAGTTCTACTCCTTTTCCCTTTCAGTGTATTGTCCATTTCTGATATTTTATTATTAATCATCTGGACCTCTTTTTGCAGGTTTTGAATTGTTTCCAATGCTATGTTGTTGTTGTTGTTGTTGTTAAGTGCCGTTGAGTCGGTTCCGACCCATAGCGACCCTGTACAGGGTTTCCAAGGGTGTAATTCTTTACGGGAGTAGAAAGCCTCATCTTTCTCCCGTGGAGTTGCTGGTAGTTTCGAACCGCTGACCTTAAGGTTCACAGCCCGATTCGTAACCACTACGCTACCAGAGCTCCTGTAGCTATCTTATTTGATTGCTCCTGTAGCACTTTCGTGACTTCTTCCTTATTTTCCTCCACTCCTCTGCAAAGCATTTGAATTTGTCTCCGTATCATTCTTCTGAATTCCTTCTCAGGCAGATCAAAACCTGCTCTTCTTCTTGTGGAAAGTGTATGTCTTCCTTTAGCTCATTTGTCTCAGTTACTCTTTTCTGTTTTTGGACATGTGCTGAGTTCTTTTGTTGCTTTTTCTTGGACATTTTCAATAGTTAGGTGCATTTTCAGTGATTAAATGAATGTATGTTGCTGGGTTGTTAAGCTTACTGAGTGTTTCCTGGTGGATGTGATCTGGAGATAGGATTCCCTTTTCACATGTAATACCTAGTAGCTGGTATTGGCTCCTGTCCTGATGGTGGGATATTATGGGGTATTCTTGTAGCTTGGTTCTATGGCCATAATTGCTGTCTCTTCTTGGGTAATGTAGAGAGAAACCACTCATCCCCAGGGAAAAAAATGTGATCTAAAGGACCAAAAACTAAAACAATGTAAAAGCAGAGTGAAAAACCACCACTCAAAAATGAAAATAAAACCGTAGCCGACTGACCAGTAGTCTTTGCTGCACAGGTCAGTGTGCATGCAGAGTAGAAACCTCCAGCAGTGGGTGAGGGTGTCCACTCACTCAGGCCCCTCCTCTAGCCACCGTTGTGGAAGTGTGCAAATAGATATTGAGAAATTAATGGGAAAAAATTGTCCACTATTTTTTATCTCTGAAGGTCAGTTAGGTATCTGTGTGTTCACAGTGTAATTCTCAAAATATTTGTGTCCTTGTGAGTAGTTGGTGTTGGCTCTTGCCTTATATGTTGGGGTTTTACAGAGTGTTCATATGGTTTACCTGTATGGCCAGACCTGCTTTTTCATGCTGGGTAGGCATGAAAGGGTACCACCCAAGTCAACTTTAAGGCTGGGTCCCAGAGTCAGATGTCATAAACAGCTGTCAAAGGATCAGCCCATGGGTCCAATGGGGCTCCTCCTCTCTGTGCCATGGGAAAACTGTGGGCTCAATGCTGGACTCTTTTGGGGCTGTGTTTCTACCAGCCTGAAAGTGTCCAGGCTGGGCACAGAGGGTGCAATAGGGAAGAAGAAGACAGAAATGTGTAGAATCACCCATACCTCTTTTTTCAAATGCCACTGTGTGGTTTTTAGCACTGTGTCACTGTATCAGTCTGGCTGTGGCTCTGCCCTCTGATTTCAGCCCTGGCAGAGTGGCCTCAAAGAGAGTTCCACATCCTGATTGATTCCAAAATCATAATATTTTCCTTTCTAAAGTGATTGTTCCACCTGTGGGTGGGGGTAACTGATGCCCTGCACCTTATACTAGGTCCAGAGCTCTGGAGTTGCTCTGGGAATGCACAGTCTCTGTATTTTCTGTGCCTCCCTTAAGGAGCCTGTCCTATCTGACTCTGCTTCTCCCACCTCCAAACCAGAAGTCTGTAGCTGTACATTAAAAAAAACAAAAAACAAATAAATAAAACTGTATAATGCACTTCTAGGCATGATAAACTATAAAAGACAATTTACTTAAGATGAAGTTATGAAAGTTTGATCAGTAAGTTTCTTTTCTCTGAGGGCTGAATGCTGACAACAAATTAATTGTATTAATAATTAAACACCTGACTCTACTAATGGGTTTTTCACCACCTCATTTATAAATGAAAAGTGATCAACTGTTGAAGCAATTTATACCTTTATAGTCTATTAGGGAAATTATGCTAGATCATTCTAACAAATGCCAGGTTATTTCTTTAAAATGTCTTGAATGAAAATCTTTATTTAAAGAGAAAATGTGCTTTGAAGATGCCAATAGATTATGTGAATATGATACCAAATATGGATTAATTAAAAATCTATGTATGATTACATAATAATCCATGTTTTGGTAGTGATATGAATTGGGATAGTAAGAATCTTCAGTGTTTATCAAAATAGTCTGGTCTTCATTCTAGAAATAGGTGAGAAATATGAGAGGTTTTTGAGTAGATACTTACATATGTAAAGTAAGGTTTTAGTAATATTTGGGATTAATAAAAATAGTAGAAAGAGAAAAGAAGGGAAACCAGGTAGAGAATAGTGCCAAGACTCTTGTAATAATACCTATTCAGGTATGAGGGAAAGTAGGGGAAAGGTATGATGCTGTAGGATAAGCTCTGGACTGCTAACCCCAAGGTCAGAAGCTCAAACCCACCAGTTGCTCTCAGACACCCTCTGCAGGGTTGCTATGTGTTGGAACAGACTCTACAGCAAACAACAACAACAGCAAGGGGAAAGGTAAGAAGTCCTGGTGGCTCAGTGGTACTTGACTTGTAACTGAGACGTCAGCAGTTTGAACACATCAGATGCATCATGGGAGAAAAGACCTGGCTATCTGCTCCCGAAAAGATTTCAGCATAGAAATCTCTATACCACAGTTCTACTCTGTCCTATGGGGTTGTTATGGGTTGAAACAACTCAAAAAACACAACAACTACAACAGGGGGATGGTAAGGGTAATGGAAAGGATGGCTATAAGAGACATTGTAAAGCAAGAATTGATGTTGCTTGAATAAGATGTGAAGAGGGAAACGGTGGAAGAAGTAATAGATGATACCATGTTTATAGTCTATGTCAGTGAGAAGACTAGGACAAACTGGAGGAGGTGAGCTTTTTGGAGGGAAGATGCTTGCCGTGTTGAGTTATTGATATATTGAGTGTGAATTAATGTCAAGGCTTCATGAGTGGCAAAAGTAGTTAAGTGCATGACTACTAACCAAAAAAGTTGGTGATTGAAAGCTACCCAGAGGCACCACGGAAGAAAAGCCTGGTGATCTATTTCTGAAAAATCAGTCATTAAAAATCCTGTGGAGTGTAGTTCTACTCTGAAACCACTTAGGTATCCATGAGTAAGAATTGAGTCCACAGCTACTGATGTGACACCATAGAACAAGCATTCGACCTCAAGGTCAGTTTGAACCACAAAGTCAGTGGTTCAAACTTCCCAGCAGCTCCTTGCAAACCCTATACAGGGTTTCTATGAGTCAAACTTGATGGCATTTAGCAACAACAACAGGAAAAGGAAAAGGAGCTCTGGTAGCATAGTGAGTTACATGTTGGGCTGCTAACCTCAAGGTCAGCAGTTTGAGTCCTCTAATTGCTCTATGGGAGAAAGATGAGGCTTTCTGCTCCTGTAAAGATTTATAGCATCGGAAACCCTATGGGTGGCTATGAGTTGGAACTGACTCTATAGCACACAGCCACCACCAGGAAAAGAAAAGGCTGTTTGGAGATTTATAATCAAAATGCTGAAGAAATCTAAAGTTGGAAGTCATTCATTTGCCTCATTGGCTATGTGCCCATATTTCAACTTTCCTTTCTTCTTTGATATGTCCAAGTATGGCATTGTAGGATAAGCACTGGACTGCTAACCACAAGGTCTGTGGTTCAAATTCACCAGTCACTTTTTGGAGCTTGAAACACTTAACGACACAACATCTTTTTTGACATTG